GCTTGGTGGGCTGGTGCCTGGAGCCGGCCCTGGTCTGCCTGACTGCCTTTACCACAGATGAACGCAATCTGGATTAAGATTACAAGAACAATTTTGCTAACTACTGACTGTATTTGAAAACAATGGTGTTAGATGGCTGTAATTATAAGTCATGCAGGGCGTTAAAATGACAGAGACTCTTTTGCAAGGTATTCTTTGAAATCCACGCAAGCAGAGCACCATGGTTTATCACATAACATTCACCATCAATGGCAGCAACCTCAGACCTCATTGAGTCAACAGGACTAGGAGCACAGAGTATGCAGGAAGGGATGTTAAGACTATCTTGGAATAGTCACATACCATATGTGCCTAAATAAAAGATGAACTCTTCTGAAAATCCAGTGATTGATTTAGATACCTAATTAGGAGCTGCTGGGTCTGACCTCTTTTAAAAATCTACCTTATAAATTTCAATTAATAAATGCACCAAAATGGTGAAAGTAAATTGTTTTGTAATCCGAATGGATTTGATTATTTTCTGTCTTCAATTTAAAACAAAAAAAAGGGTCTGTTTTGCAGTCAGTGTGTGTTGGTCTCATGTCTTTTCACTCTAAAGGAAACAAGAAAGCACAAGTTTGTAACTGTTCTTTTAGATACAGAGCCATGGTATGAAAATATCATATTTTTCTACACTTGCATTTAAAATCAATGGATTTTAATCCTACTCTGCTTTTATTGGCCAGGTACCATCATGCAGGCATTTTCATTTCCTGGTAGAAATTTGTACACAATAACAAATGACTAGACCCCAACATTCTTGAATGATGTATGAGATGGCCATGCTGCCTCAGCCTTGAATCTATCCATCATTTAGCAGTCAAAGTCTGGTTTGAAATAAAGGTGGACTTTTATTGTTGCAAAACAAATGTGTGGTCCAGCGCATGCCTTTAAATTAAAAAAGATATATTTCCTTTTCCGAGAAATTGCTAAAAAGAGCATTTGCTGCCGTTCTCAGAATTCAAGAACAGATAAACATGATGGATTACAGATTCTCCACTGGTGTAAACTGGGGTAGGTCCATTGACTTCGACAAAGGTATTGCCTGCCTTCACTGGAATTCTGGCAACGTACACCAGCCGAATCTCAGGCCTATAGATTTAAACGGAGCGGAGGATTTGGCCCATTGACTTCAGTGATTCTATGGCAATTTACATCAGCTGAGGATCTTCATCAAATTTATTTCAGTTAATGGAAATTAATTTTTCAACCCCTCCTTTCCTGATTATTAAAGATCCCGGGGACAGGGACATGTTTGACAGAGATCTGTGTTGTGTTTTGGTAAGAAACAATGGATGAATTGATGGACATGAAGCGTTTTAGTTAAAACAATTTGCATTTGGCACAAGAAAACAACCCACCCTCTTGTTTGGTCTCCCCTAGGTGATAAAAGCTGTGGAGGAGGGCTACCGTTTGCCAAGTCCCATGGACTGCCCGGCTGCTCTTTACCAGCTAATGCTCGACTGCTGGCAGAAAGATCGGAACAGCAGGCCCAAGTTTGACGAAATTGTCAGCATGTTGGACAAGCTCATCCGTAACCCGAGCAGCTTGAAGACACTGGTTAATGCATCGAGCAGGTATAAATCCAGGCCAGTTCCGTTTCTCCATGCATGATTCATGTCATAATACCCTGGCATTGAAATAGCTCTGACTCTCTGATCTGTGCAGACCCTGGAGGATGTACCACAAGCTTCATTATGTCCAGAATAGTTTTCCCAAATCATCTCTTTCTGTTTAAATGGGCAGATACATGAGCAATTCAATCACGTTATAAATGCATCCACACTGAAATTATCATGACCTGTCTTGGAGAAGCTTGAGTTGCAGCTATGTTTATAGCTACAGAATGGAGTTACTTTGTTTTACACCCAGGGAAAGGGAGGGCAGGATTTGGCCTGTAAAGTATATAAGAAACATCACTCAAATTATCTCTCTGTTGACTTTATCCTGGTAATGATTAGGAAAGAAATCCTTTAGGGCAAATTCTGGGGACTAGTAAAACCAGATGCATTCCTACCCTGATATAATCTACCACAATCATTCGGAAGTCCATTAGTGTTTACCTCCATTTCTAACAGATTTTCAAACATTAACAAATCCATGTGGTTTCCAAAAAAAAGTGCACAATTTTATAAAATACATTAAGAGCCAGCATGCAATATTAGTATGAAACATGATAAATGCAAGCCTACAATTAAGGTCGACGTGGTAGGAAATAGAAGTATAAATATTTTGGTAAATTCCTGCCGGCCAGTCATCTCAGATAACAATTTTACCACCATGGCAGAAGCCTGGGAAGAATAACTTTTTATTATGGGTGCATAGCATTTTTCCTCTGCAGCCTTATATTACTTACTTCTTAATTATACTGCTACACTGATTTACACCAGCTGAGGATTTGGCCCTGGCTTTATAAGAGTTGAATTTTCAGCATGAGGAGGATATTACACAAGTATTTATATTGACGAGACTAACTGTAGCAACAGTCTAGACATAAGCAACATGTTGGGAACGGTTCAGTTGGCACCATAGCCCAGATCCTAAAAGTTAGACACAGAACTCCGGGAGTTAGGTTTCTAAATACGTTTGAAGATATGGACCTATGAGGCAACATTTGTTTATTGGGGTACATGTCATTTTTAAATACAAAGTAGGCATGATTCTCCAGGCTTCTTTCCATGCATCATTAACTTTCTGAGGAAGCCATTGGAGAATGAATCTTATTAGCAATCAGTTGTAATGTCATTCCTAGCACATCTGCATAAAAAAGGTTTATGGTAGCATAAAATGTGGAACTCTTCTCTTTCATTTTCAGTTTGGAATAATCATTTTGGGGCATGTTGTGTAGTGATTCATGCACTGTTCTATCAGAGTGTACTAGAGAAAGTAAAAATTGTCAGTAAACCATTTCTTCTAGGTGCTAAGCACTTTGCTGGTATGTTAATGCATTTACAGTTTCAAGCAATTCCTAATGTCTACTAATGTGAGTATTGCCAAAAAGAATGGTGTATCCGAACAGCCATTTTTTTGTGGTCAAGTTCCCTTTACCCATATCATTCTCTACCCATAACAGAACATTACTGAATCAACCCTTAGTTAAATGCAATGCAGAACTAAAGGATGTTTTCAAACATAACATATTCTGTATTAAAAATTTCCCATTCATACAAATACAGGAGGAAACAGTGACATTACAATGTGTGCACAGCAGTAGATACCTCATGGCATTAGTACCGAGAATCCACTTTTTTGTTCTGATTAAAGAAGGAAGTTTGAATCCCTTCTGTGTTTAAAATGTTATGTGGAAGCATTATGCTGTTGTTACTGGCAATATTTACATTTTATTGGACCCTTCAGTATAGCCATTAAGTAAACAAAAATACTAATGTGATCATAAAATATATGAAGATTCCTGAAGTGCTAAATAATATAATATCCTGGATGTTCTTCCAGTCAGGTATACTTGAATTGAATTTACATATTCAGGGCTAAACCCTGCAAATGCTGATACCTGTGGATAGCATCCCTCACAGATGTAGTATTATTATTAGGCAGCGTGGCTTAGTGGATAAATCACTCACCTGCACTTGGAAAGCATAGGTTCCATCCCCAGCTCACCTGGATGACTTTGGGCAGTCCCTTCACCCCACTGTACCTCAGTTTCCCCATCTGTAACATGGGGATAATGATACTGGTCTCCTTTGGAAAGCACTTTGAGATCTACTGTTGAAAAGTGCTGTATAAAAGCTAGGGATTATCATTTATATTGCAGTAGTACCTAGCGACCCACCAAGAATGGGACCTCACTTTGATAGACACAGTACAAATAGTTCTGTTGACTTCAGTGGAACAACTCCCATGACCTAAGCGACTTGAATCATAGGCCAAGATTTTTTTTTTTAAATGGGTGCCTAAAGCCAACCTCCTGAGTCCATGGCCTGATTTAATCAATTGCTGGGTGCTGAGCACTTTTTGAGAATCTTGTCCAAGTTTGCAGAATCAAGCATTTATATTCTAACCACAGACCAGTCTGGTTTCTCAGTACTGGGGAATATGATTTGTGTTTGTCTTCCTCGTCCTGACATGCTTAGAAATAGATTTTGGCTTCTGGGCTCTGGACGCTTTGATTTAGGAGAATGACAAAACTGAGATCCTGAAGGTATGCAGTCTCGAGCAGTTTACTCCTAGGAGCGGGGACCATATAGAAAGACAGCCTCCTTACAAATGAGCAGTACTACTGACACTGAGGAGTGCTAAAAGCATTGTTCTGCTGAGGCCTTCCCCTTTGTGCTCTTGAAAGCAGAAGAATGGTGCAAAGAGTAATGCTGCAGTGAATAATGTAAACAGATAAAGAGGCAGGTTGTGATCTGTGCAAATTCTTGCTTATCTGGTCCTTTGTGATACAGGTCTGTCGCATCTTAGGCGCATTTAACATGTGCGATTTCAGCTTTATGCGGTCGTCAAAAACAAAAAAAACCAACAAAAAAAGAGAAAAATAACTATTTAAATACTGTTTCTGTAGTACGGGCGATTCCGCCCGCCATTACACTCAATGTAATTTTGACTATACGCGATTTTCGCTTTAGGCGCTGACTGCGGAACGTAACCCCAGCGTAAGATGAGACAGACCTGTACTTTCATCTTTTCTTTTTGCTGCTAAAATAGTTTAAAGGGCAGGATTTTCAAAAGTTTTCAGCATTGGCCTAACTGCTCACAACAAAGTCAATGGTAAAACTCCCATTGACAGGAGTAGGTAGACTACCCTTGGTATTTAAAGGCCCAATTCTGCCACTCTTACTCATATTGAGCAATACTTACTCCCATGTGTAAGTAAGCAGACTAATGCAACTGATTCTATGAGTAAGTAACTCTTGATGTAATTAAGGGCACAAGTATCAGGTTTATCTAGGAAAGTATAATAAAATTATTTTTTAATACAAAAAAATTGTAAGCGAATGATTGGTGTTGGGTACATCTTCAAACTGATCTTTTTGTTTGTTTTAGAGTGTCAAATTTATTAGTAGAACATAGCCCCTTGGGAAGTGGCACCTACAGATCCGTAGGTGAATGGCTGGAAGCCATCAAAATGGGACGGTACACAGAGATCTTCATGGAAAATGGATACAGTTCAATGGATGCCGTGGCTCAGGTGACCTTGGAGTGAGTAGTTTTCTGATCGTTTTCACCTGCTTTGTTGGAGTTGGGGAGAAGACACATTGATTTCAATGTAGTAGAGAGATCGGGGGGAGGGGAAAAGAAGAAGGGAAGCAATTAACTGTTGTGCACAGTCAGCAGTTTCCAAGGAAGCCTCATCTTTTAGAGCCTGTGTCGATGATAACAAATGCATGAGAGGGTTGAACTTACGGTCACTGTGCTTGCAGCCAATACCTTGGCTCTTTTACTGAAATAAATTTACACTTGAGTTTGAATAACTGACAAACCATTCTCTGGCATAATAGCAACGGGAGTATTATGGGTTGTTTTTTAAAAAAAAGTTCTGTTACTGGCACAGTTTTCTACAAGTAAATACAGTGGGGCCAGAATGTCCTCTCGCTGACTGTGCTTTCACACTGGTGTGACTGGCTGCAGCGGAGTCCCTCCTCACTTACACCACTGCGAGTGGGGAGTCAGGCGCAGGAAGTGATGTCACAGTTTATGATTTTTACCTAGAAAAGATACAAATACATTTAGGTACAATTGATATGGCTGATTTTGCAACAGTGACAAACTGAGAACCATCAGTCAAATCTGGATCTGTGTAATAAATGCCCACAGCTGGATTCTGAGTTCTGAATCCTGGCGGTGTAAAGAGATTTTAAATTGGCCGTAAATTACATTTAAACTGCCAGAGGCCTTAGCGTAAATAAGAATCAGGCCCAGAGTGTGCATGGAAAACATCCAGTTCAAAACAAAGCTGTTAGTAGGAGAATTAGGATCAGTTTGATCATTAATTGTACTTCTGTATCGTATATAATGTTGCAAGGACAACTCAGATCCTACACTATGGCCCAGCCCGAAGCTGGACTCCAGCAGAAGGTGTCGGCTTCTTCAGAGCGGCAGAACTCTATCTCCGCCGTGCAGAATTAGGCCCTGGGTGAACAGTTTGGGGGACCTTTTATGTGTGCATGTGCATATACTTCTGAGATCAGCCTGATCGGCTCAGACTGAATCCACGGCACTAAAGTCATGTGGTAAATGCCTTAGGGCTATTGGTGAAGTGTGTGCTACTTTTTTAAATGGCGTGTACTGTTTGTGTAATGATGTCTATGCCTTATCCTGTCACTTATTCAAACTGAGCGTAGAGAGTGTGTTTCCAGCAGGATTAAACTGAAGTCAGGTTATCACAGATGTTGAATTAGAATGTAAAGAAATACGACCCCTTGTGATCCAGGGGTGTGTGCGTACGTACACACACACACTCTCTCCCTCTCCCTCTCCCTTTCCCTCTCTCTGCTGGCCAATATGCCTATTGCATCAATTTAAAATAAAATAAGAACCCTACTCTACCAGAACCTTAATGTTTTTCCTGCCCGGCAGCAGGGGAGTCGCTTTGTCACAGGAACTCAGTTTTGCTCAGTGGAATTCACCCCGCAGGGTACAAAATCCCCCCACAATGTAGGTAGGATTTTAAACCTCCATGAGAGTTAAAATAACATTAAAGAGCAGAGGTCAAAATGTAGCAGCCTCTCTCCTCTCACTCAGGTCCTACTTGCCATGTCCACAGTCATAACATTCCTCACTTACTACCCCTGCAATCTCGAACCCCAGTCCTGCAAGCACACTCCTGTTTAACTTCGTGCACTGACATCAGCGTCTTATTTATTTGATTATTTGTATTTCTGGAGCACCCTAGGAACCTCAGTCCAGGATCAGGTGCAGGGGGCGGGACTAGATGCCCTCCTGAGGTCCCTTTCAGCCTGACATTTCTATGCTTCTGTGATGATTTCGTTGTGCCCAGGGCCGCACAGACATAGATCAAAGACTCCAGTTCCTGCCCCGGAGAGCTCACAATCTACACAGCAGAGGGGACATGCCAAGAGCGCCAGACAGAAATCAGGTCGGGGAAGGATGACTAGAGTTGAGCAGAAAAGTGGAAGCTGCTAGGATTATTCCCAGTGCTTAAAGTTAAGCACATGCCTAAGACGTCCAGGTGTGGCGGTTTCCCCACTCACTAAACCCACAATCCCAAGATACCCGCTCTCACCGTCCCTGCCTTCCGCCACTCCCCATGTTAAGTTCTTCCATATTTCCTCAAAATTGTGTCATATGAAATGGAAGTAAAACCACATCCCACACTAGTTTGTATTTGCACCTAATCAGGGTTTAATTCATCAGAAATATTTGATCACTGCTACATGATTACGTGGTTATGGCCTACCCCAATGTCTATTAAAATGAAAGGGTAGATAGATAGTTCTCGGCCCAACAGGAATTATTTGTAAATATAAAATCAACGAAGTAAATGAAGCCTGCCTATTTTTTCTTTGCTGAGCAGTGACCCCACTCTATGTTTCAGTCCTCCCCAAGTTCTCTGTGCTGTTTCCCCATGTCTTTTTCGCTTCTCCCCGCTGCATGTATCCTGCCAACTTCTAAGACCGGATTTTGCATCCTTGAAGCCAATGGGAGTTTTGCAAAGTCTTCACTGAGTGCAGGATCTACCCCTAGAGCTGATTAGAAGACATATTTCATTTTGCATGAAATATGGCCAAGAAAGAGATTTTTAAAAAATTGTTTTGTGGAATTTTTCATCAAAAGCCTGCGACGTTTTCACTCGGGTGGAAATTTCCTCACAAAAATCTCATTGTGCCAAAATGTCATTATTTTCATGGAGAAAAGTTACAGCGGATCATTTTCACCCTGCTCCACCATTTGCCATCACAGGGTCACCACCTCCTGCATGCTTTCCTCTCTACTCCTTACTGCACGTGGTGTTTTCCTGCTTATATCCATCCTTTCTCTTTGTGATTGCTGTCTCTCCCTTGATTTGATCCCTTTCCTCTCTTGTAGTTCCTTTTACCTCTTCTCCTTTATCTTTTTTCTCCCTTCCTCTTCTTTCACTCTGAGTTTGTTCCCTTTTTTTGCTTCCTTTCTTGTTCTCCACTTACCCCCTCTTCCACTTTTCCTTTCCCCTCCTTCCTGCTTCTGATTCCTTCTTGCCTTCCTCTACCAATCTCTTGCTGCTTCCCCAGCCTTTCCCCCTCCTGCTTCAGCTCCTCCATCCCTTGCCTCTGCCCTGCTCCACTTCACTGCTGCTGCAAGCAGAGGTGCCAGAAATTAACAAGATCGATGGAGCGCTGTTGCTTCAATGGATCTCACAGACACCTTGTTAAATTCATTAGCTGTTCTGCCAGTGCATGTAGCATAGCAGCACGGGGCACAGAAGTAGAGGTTAGAAGAATGTGCCAGGGCATCAGACAGATGCAAACCAGCCCTGTCCAACCCCTGAGTAAAGAGCATCTGATGCTTCATGGATAACTCTGGAAAATGTTCCACTGTGGGCGGCAGCCTTTATCTCCAATATTCCTGTGTTTCTCTCTTCTCGTTCCCGAAAATGTTTACGTGAAAACAGGCCCTGTGGGTGAAATTCTCTTGTGCACCAAGATTTGCTCGCCACATGGAAGCTAGGGAAAACAATTGTGACCTGATCTGTCCCTCACTGAGTTTATAGCAAGCTTGGAAATGCTCTAAACTCTGCCCGCTGGTAACAGTATCCTAGGGCCCCGTACCAACCCTGTGTTGGGATGGGACAGTGTCAGGGCCTGTTGTCCCTTTACTAGCACTGCCACAAATCCAGCTGCCTTGAAATCCCTTCACAACCCCAGAGCAGTGCAAAGCGGCTGGAATCCCTGAGAGTATGGCAGACTTTTTAATTCTAATTTCCTGTGTTTGACTTTTTAAACTGAAAAGAAAGATCCATGTTCTATTCTGAAGTCGTGTTTTTGTAAATATCAGCTACTTGGCCATTCTTCCAAACTGTAATGATATATTTCAAACTATACCCACACTGCTCCTCCATATATTCTTTCAAGGCCCAGTGGTACAGCCCTTAAACCAGGGGTTCTCAAACTGGGGGTCATGACCCCACAGGGGGTCAGGAGATTATTACATGGGGGGTCGCGAGCTGTCAGTCTCCACCCCAAACACGGCTTCACCTCCAGTATTTATAATAGTGTTAAATATGTTTTGAATTTATAAGGGGGGTCGCACTCCGAGGCTTGCTGTTTGAAAGGGGTCCCCAGTACAAAAATGTGAGAACCACTGCCTTAAACAAAACAACGAGCCCTTTCTCACACATGTAATTCCAATGAAGTCAATGAGACTGTGTGCCTGATCGATTGCTAACCAATGTGAATAAGGCTTACACAACTGAGCCCTAAGAAATATCCATATAATGTACTCTTCATTAAAATCAATGGGGAGTTTCCTTTACAATTGAGTGGCATACTATTTCTATGCTGTAGTTTCCATGAATCACATCATCAGCTGGTATAAATCAGTAAAGGTCCCGTGACTTCAGTGTAACTACACCAGTTTCTGCCTGCTGAGGATCAGGCCCTATCAATGTATTTGTGTGAGCAAATAAAATGCAGGGAATCTAGGTGCTCCCACAGGTCAGGCTGGGTTCTGAGACAGCTTCTGCCATTGTACAATCTCCTTTGACAGTTAGAACACAGGCTACCTTGGTTTGGTCAGATAATCTGCACTCAAGTCAGTAGTGTTCCTGAGAAAATTATAACAGGCTAATTGGGAAAAAAAACAAAAAGAAAGCAAAACTCTGTGATATCCTTTATATATGTTAAAAACACAGCTGATGTAAATTAGCAAATCTCCATTGACTTCAATAGTCCAAAATGAAAATTGTCAAAGCCTGAGGTTAGATCCTCGGTTGGTGTAAACCAGCATTACTCCTTTGAAGTCAACAAAGCTAGGCTGAATGACACCAGCTGAGGATCGGAGCCACTGTTTCTCAAATAAGGAAAGAAATGCTTTTCTGGCTACTAATGTGAATCCATCCTATAATTCTATAGGTTCTTTAATTGCTATTAGGAAAAAAATGAACCTGGGAACACACAGCATTCCTTATTGGTTAAAAAGGTTATTCTTTTTTTTCGTAAAAGGGGACAACAAAATATTTTGTACAGTGCAAATAAGAATTCAGG